CAAAGTCATATTATTTACAAATGTCATGGCATTGGTCATAGGGCTAGATAAACAGATAAAGTGCCACATTTTAGATGAATGACACATTGACTTGGATAATGTTGACACATTTCCCACAGACATTGGTCAACAACATCTCAACATTGTGTAAAATCACCCATGCAGTAGGCTAGCAGTACTTTCAAGTAGTAGAAGTAACTTCGGCCTTAATGTAGGCCTATGCTACTTTTCCTCTCAAACAAGCCTTGGAATGGATGATGATGGCGAAAGTTTCAGCCATGTCAGGCAACATGGCCAAGTCTTGTTTGTTGCCGTAAAGTTTCAATCACATTCTCCACTAGGCCTTCATTTCCAAGCCAATGACAAATTACTCATTCATTCAATTAGTTTATTTTTCATGTTTTTAATACTGGCACATCTGTAATACGTATTTTTCAGTTACAGCCCCCAATTTACAAGATTTAACCGTTCCTAGTCGTAGGCTTACATACCTGATTTACGATCGCTTATAAGCAAAATTTCTCCCGTAAACTGCGTGGCTTGTAATAGTATATTTCCCTGTCGTCGATAGAAGTAATCGAGCTGTGTTTGTGCAGTTCAGCTGGGGTCCGTCTCATGCATGCAAATTGTATTATCAAAAGAGGGCGCATTGCCTTCAGCTATGTCTGGGGCGTATTTGTTGCGCGAGATTTATGCCATTACGGCCATGGTTGCAAATGAGCTTCAATAGACAACAGTGACAAATATTCTCACTTAAAAAAATCAGGAAAAATGGAAGCATCTCATGTGTTCAAGACATACATTAAATTATTTCCCCATCTTTCATTTTCCTTTTATTAATTTTTTTGGCGATTTAATAAGTGCCTTTAACAGATGTGTCTATCGAGAGATGATTACCCCTAATCAGTAAGCTCATTGTCATTTTGAAAATTGATGCCAATGTTCCAACGCAAAATAAAGCCATTTGAAGGGCCCTTTCTAGTCCAATATTTTCAAAAATACACGCTGGAGGTCTTAGTACGTATTTTAGTTCCCATCCCGTTCAAGACCGAACCACATGATAAAATGCCCTAATAGAGAATTTAAAAACATGCAAATCCTGATTTGGTCTTCGCGTGTAATTTTGGGCCAAAGTACTGCCCTACAACCATAGTGTGATGAAAATGTGCACCCATATACTAAACGATCGATTTCAAATTTCTCAGAACACTGATGAAAGCTTGCCGTTTTGCAAATAAGTTACCGGCAGCAGCCATGGCTGTGTAGCAGACATGACAAGCTAGTCTTCGCTCTGTGGAATCTGGCCACCGACTAGTGGCCCTATCCTAAACAAAACCTTCAACTAAAAATGAAAGTTGTGATTTTCAAAAAGAGCTAGCTTCGTCAAAAGTATACACGTAATTGCAATGTGGGTACACCTCCAACAGACGCATACATGTACATGTACATTGCCAGAACCTGCGTTCAAGTTATGTCTGACGCCACTGGCAAGCAAGATCCAATCAACTGTGCGCCAGCTGTGCCCCGTCGGCCTGCTTTTTGTAGACGCCCATGTGTTTGGTACTATTACAATAAACATGCTCAAATGACTGAATCAATACAGGAAGTCCTTAGACAATGCATGTTCATCTATCCTAGGGTTGTTGGTAGGTTTGTACAAAGTTAATCCGTAGAGGAATCCTCCATGATTAACCTTGACCAAAACGGGACTCGCGTGATCAAGCAGTAGGCCTAATTGAAATCTTGGTCATTAGCGCTCTTCCGCTCAACCTCAGCCATTTACAATCCTTGTTACTCGAAAAATTTGAGTCCACGAATTTGCTCTGTGGCTCTTTTTGAATTTCTTAGTATCCAAATCGCTGGTACATATACATGTACGTGTACAAGTATGTGGGACCGCGTTGACTCCCACGTCCGCCGCGTCAGTGGCGACAATGCCGGTGAAACTTGACGGCCACAGTTGCCGGGACTAAGTCGGTGGCCAGTCAACCCTCAATCTGAATAAGAGTTCACCTTAAAATTCTCAACATCACTCATTGTTCAGCGACCGTGAAATCGCTTTGGTTGTATAACGCATACACCTAACTGAAAGTGCTTTGTAACTCATTAATAATTAATTAACTGAAACTGTAAATGGTTGATTGATAACTATTGATTCGCCGCCAGCAGCAGAATTGTAGAATGGTCATATCATACACAATTAAAAACTTTAAGTAGCAATTAACAAAACATAGATAACAGGAGGTATAAGCTGGCAGTGAGAAAGGTCCTATAATTTGATCATTCATGTACGCTAGCCACTGCACCGTGAGGTGTGGGTAGGGCATGCCTATGTCTGTAAATTATAGTTACATGTCTGCGGCTCCGAACCAAACGTTACGCCTTTTTTTTCAGATTACATCAATTCTCATGGTCCGTCGGTTGTGGTGAATCTCATTGAAATAATTGGTCTTTATGGTGACGTCCCTGGTAGACCATCTCAAGTCTTGCTCCAATCTTACAACAAAAAAAGCCTATAATGCAGAAAGTGATCGCCACCCTGTATGATTTTCATCTGTTCGAATGGGCTTTGCCTGTCATTGTAATTATGCATGCCGTGTTTTGTATCAGTAAGTTTGAAATTCCATGCGCGAAGTGGCAGATCCAGGCCTCATTACCATGCATGCACATGTACTGTGCCCACGGGAGTTCGGTCACACTACAAATACTGTATCACGCACAGGACGCCTGACCCCATCGATTCTTCAGCATGTCGTTCATATATACATGTGGCATAAATGGATATGTTATCCCTTTCGTTAAAACGGAGAATTTAACCCAGGAGAATTTTTATCTGTCTTTTATGCCCCACAATGGCATGGTTTATCCCCCCTCCAAGGAGCACTGAAAAGATTTAAATGAAACTCGAAAGTTTGAGGTTGAAATTTAACGCGCTTTCATTGGTAGTTTCAAACTTATCTTTCCACGATAATCGCCGTGGAGTTCTTGAAGTTCGGTGATACAAAACTGAATCAAAATTTGGACAAATGATCATTGGTTTAAGAAAAGGAAATGCTGTACAGATAATATTGAAAATTAAAGTCACACTGGCGAAAAGAACGAAGAAAACGTTAAAAACATGGATATACAGACTCTAAGTCACAGCATTCTAGCCATATGTTTTATCATCCCGTTTAAAATGCGCTCTGAGGTATTTTTATTTCATATTCATATCCTTTCAAATCACCGAACATCAGTCTTCACGATGGTATTCCGCTCGTACTTCCACTGAGTTTTAGATACAGTGCAAACAAGAACTCCGTGTTGTCGCTTCAGTAGTCCCTAGCGCCCCCCCCAAAAAAAAGACAAGCTGTATTCTGAAATTTTCGAAGAGCAGGATTTCCCGAATCTCTTAACTCTTGCCTTTCTTCAAGTCTCACCAACAGTTGATGTCCCGACCATTTACCGTAATTTGGGGTAAACGATCAATGAAAGTTCCATAAATAGTCCGTGTGTTAACATGGTTTTCCCATCAACGCTCTATTAAAGTTGTCAGGTCCCAAAATCGCGACCCGGCCACGCGGGGCCGGCTAGGCTCGGCACTGGCACAACACAATCTGCCTCGTCAGCAACAGCTAGCAACAGCTGATCACTCATGGCCACACGCACACTCACAAGGCCGCTCGATACCCAAGCAGAAATATATAAAACAAGATTACATCGATATATTGAGTCTATTAAAATATCGGCAAAACAACATTTCACACCGCTGTTTGCGGCTAGGCTCAGGCAGGAAGTTGGCGCAGTGGATGCAAGGTTGTATTGAATCTGTCCAGCTGGCAAACCCGCCCACACCTCGTCTCGATCACTTTGGTACAAATCCCTACTGCTCTACGGTGAAGGTGACGTGCATGTATCGAACACGACTGCACTCCCAGGTAATCGCCAATATCAACTGATTACACAACTCGAAGGGAAACTTTGATCGCATTCTAAGCGAGTTCAAGCATCAAGGCAGTGATACGTAACCACGGCTAGCGCAGTTCTTCTCTGAATCTCTGAACTACTGACCAGCCCACTGCAAACAGGTAGTTACCGTCAACGACCACTATTATACAGCTCCCTGTCTGCAACTGCAAGTTCTAAAAGGGATCGGGTTGTATAAAGGTAAGCTATTTCCTGGGAAGGAAGACTTTGCCAACATAATGCGCGTATGTAACTCCGATTTTTATTTCTCGTAGGAGGGGCGTGATGCCAATGATTAGTGCCATGGGTGTCGCGATCTACTGCGGCAAGACCTGTCGGCTGTAGACGCCATTTTTGTCACTGTACGCTGCTGCATTCCAAAGGAGTTTTAAGAGGTCATTCACCCTCATACTGACGAAGGAACACGACAGTTGACCCCAAAGTCACCATGTGCCTAAAATTAATGTGGAAATCCTTATTGCTTCCCTGACTAAAATTAAGAATTAAGATGTGTTCCTGTGGGTGTCCTTTCTGAAGTTATCTCCTTCTCTGTCTTGACCAATCAAAACTGCTTAGCAATCATCTCAGTGATATATCACTGCACCCGTACATAGTACATCACACCGTCACAAAAGAATAAGAATTTGCGATGACTCTGCTTTGATGGTTGATAAGTTAAGGCACGGACCTGTTGCTTGCCTCAGAAAACTCATCTCGAGACATGAGAATGTTAATTTTGACACTGAAAAGTTTCACACAAGGCCCTCCGATATGAATGAGGATATACATTAGAAATTTAAAGGGTTTATACTATAGGCCTACATAAAATACGAGTGCACCACGACACCAATACAAAATATACTTAGTGTGAATTCTTTGACTTACTTGTTTTTTGCATTTCCGTTTACATGTGCTTTTCACTTTCTTTTGAAATAGCATTAAAGGATAGCTTGCACAGTTACTCATGATGCATGTTCAAAATTATCTCGAACAGTGGTTTTCGCGGAGTACTATTTTAGACACGTATGCAGAAGGAGAGTTCCTATTATGAACACAGAAACAGAACACAAAACGCAATGGCATATCTGCATTCGCTTGCTTACGGTCTCTTGTGACGATTCTCGCTTGGTAGAACATTTTCTTCTTCAATGAGTTCATCTGTTTTTTGAGGGTGTTTTGAAGGAGCTCTCTGGCGATGTGGTAACATAGTCTTAGCCGCACCATATAGACTATACACATACCGGCATTCATAATGCACGACAAAATCTCTCAAGGCAAAAAAGTGTACAACTCACTCTCAAAAAGAGTGAGTACCTCATAAAACCACCCCAAAAGAGTGAAAATTACTCTTAATAGATTGAAAACCACTCTTAAAGATTAGAGGATCCATACAAAGAAGAAATCCTTTTCGAGTTGTCCTTTATATTTACACAGTTCCTTGAAGGAACGGAAAACTCACTCTTTTGGATAGGTTTTCACTGAGTCTCTTTTTATAGTTTTTTAAAACTCTTTTTAGATTGGTTTTCACTCTTTTGGAGTGGATTTATGAGGGACTCACTCTTTTTGAGAGTGAGATGTTCACAAATAAATTGGCACTTAGAGAGAACGACATGTGCCGGTGGAAAAAATCTTGGGGCCCACTTCCCTCGGAGTTATCAAAATCAAAACTGCTATTCACTGAAGCGTAACGTTACTTGCCACGCCTTCTCTGTGCAGTCCCCCACTCAAATATATGACACCAAAATTAATGCCTGTATACGGCCCATAACACCCTGCACTCATCGAGAGTGCATTTTCAACATCTTAAAAAGGTAAATGTTTTCTCCTAAAGAACAGTTTAAGGCACTAGTGGGAAGGATATCTAAAATTGTATTCATGGGACGGGGTGGCTAGGTGTTATGATAGGCATCCGCTCTCGACGCTACGTCCAGCCGTTGTCTGGAGAGGAAATCTTGTTCATGGAACTTACCATCCGGCTTGTCTACTATACGGGACCTGAGTGAGCATGGCGGAATGCCCGATTTCCAGTGTAAATTATTTATGAACTGAATACCGAACCGATTGCTCACTAAGCCGTAGTCTTGGCTTGTGATTTTTTTAAATCCCAACGAATTCCAAACCTTCTTAGACTACGGAAACCACATTATACACGAATATCACTTCAACCACCAAATCTATTTTCT